AGGACAGATTGTCAAAAAAAAAGAATCTGAGGTGAAGTGGACACTGCATATGACGCTGTTAGGAGGAAGTCCACCCCAACCTTTTCTCTTTATTTTCACGGCTTTCGTCCACCGATTTCGCACCTTCGAATCGATTGGAAACGCGTAAATACTTACACTATGATTATATGCACTACTGCAACAGCCCACAACACAACATAACATAGACAAAAAAAACGCCGATTAAAAAATGTATATCGTTTAAAAGTACAGTTGTACGTTGAATGACACAGTGATATAATTAAAAGTACGGCCCAGGGGTATGGCTTCCTCTCATATTTTTGCATTTGGTGGCGCACTTTTGGCGAGAGTCGGAAATCCGGAAACAGTCGACCATTTCAGGATAGTTGGGCGTGGCTACAGCACGGGAAATATCTCAAATTTACTTGGATACGAGTAATCATTTTCAGCAAAAAAATCAACAATTGCCCATTTCAGTGGGGCACAGATCTAAAATGGGAAGCGTGTTGGTGTGGCACTTTAAATATGTGCGTCAAATGAGGTGTATTTGTAAAGTCTTTTTACACCCACCCGACAACTAGCCCTGCGTACAGTGCTGTGTGCACGGGGACGCTTTCGGTTTATAGATGTGGTGGGGACATCTATCAACCAATTATCAATTTGTATTTAATGGTGAATGTAGTCTGACGCGATGACCAATATTTATCAATTATGTTTCAGTGGGGGGTGGGGGGGTTTTGAAAAAAAACTAAAGGAATTAAGTTTTTTATCCGACATCGATCTTTTGACGTCGTCCCTTACCGTGACGGATGTTTGCAAGTAATCGACGTCAGCACAGGGATGTCTACTTTTACAAATAAACTGATTAACAAATACTCTGACCGATTCCTTGTTATGGGAGATCTGTCAAAATTACATTTTAGTTGTTCTGATAGTTGACAAGTAATATTGCGAAGTGGGCGGGACTGCCATACAACCGATGACTGAATGCGTAGATTTCTTCGGGTCGTACAAATATATTTGCTTATTTTATGATAAAATCTCCACGTGTCTAAAGTAAATACATACCACATGACTTAATCTAGCCATCGTAAGCAGCAATATAGTATATTCAGTGAAAAAAAAAACTTACCTGGGCGAAATATAGAACCAAGAGACACAACGTAATAAACTGCAACACTACCGGACAGCAATACAGCAGCCAGTACAGAAATACTCCAAAATTGTTCGCCAACTCACAGTTGTTAAAATAAAATGAGAACAGAGTAACCCTTAGTCCTGCCCATATTAAACACAGAAACAGGAAAACAGTCTGGTAGCTGAGATGTCTGTGTTTATAGTACAGAATCAAAATAAGCTGAACGTAAATGAAGGCGAACAGAAATCCGTACAAGGCTATGTAAACGGCCGTCAAGCCTAGTTGTACTTGAGGTAAATAAGATGGTCCTAGAGTCCCTGGTTTTGCAGTGCTGTCTAGTATTTCTCCTGGAATTACAAGTAAGTTGCTCTTTGTTGTCATTTTCCTCGGGATAATATTGCCATCATTTGTGCAGCGTGAGTGCAACCACAGGCCTTGCTCGTTGGTTGTCAATGTTCTAGAGCTTCGAAAATGGCGGAGACAAATTTGCGCATGTCAGGTGATGCAATCATAAGCCCACGTGACGGGAATGCCCTGAGATTTAGTTTATTCATAGACATACATTTAGTTATTTATGTATTTTCTTTGTCTCGTGTGTGTACTTGTGTTTTATTATATTTAATGTCTTTTGACCACAGATAATGTAACAAAATATATTATTTAGTGTCAAATAAAATATACTATACTATACTACTACATGTTGATTAGGTTACTGAGGTTAATGAGTCATGTGACAAAAGTTGAAATTTATTTTATCTTCAAATGTCCACTAAAAATATGATTCTGGCCAAATTTGAAAGTATACTAATACATTAATATATCATCATCACCACGTCATATGTAAACTGTTCTTGCTCTTACTCTATTCAAAAGGTAAAAAAATAAACCATTAAACCTAACAAAGATTTTTTGGAAAATGTTAAACAAGATTTGTTCATGTTACCAATGTTTTCAGTACATCCCTCTGGTACCGGCTCAGTCGAGTTTTTTTTAATCGGCCATAGAGGGCGACATGTAGCAAAATGGGTTACGTTTTCACTGATGACTAGTTTGGGCTTTATTTTCCCTTCAAGTTAAATACATACATACATGCATTCTGCCGCACTGTAGTGAAATTTGGTCAGATTGCATTATTAACAAAGAAAGGTTCTTGACAAATCTCAAATCGCCCATGGAAAAACGACATATTAAATTCAGCAAGTTCTTATTAAAAGTTAACAGCAAAGCAACAAATTTAGCATGCTTGCTTGAGCTTGGTAGGCTTCCACTTGCCATCTCAAGTATAAGGCAAATGTTGAAATATTGGATGCGATTAAACGACATGGATCATAATACATTAGTCCATGAAGCTTACCAGCTGGGGATACAGCTTGATTAGGGGTAACAGGAATAAAACACATCCTGAACTTTCTAGACTTTGGTGACTCATGGACACAATGTAAATATAACAACAATTACAGTCTACTTCACGATGGCCCTAATGATACGAACATTGAATGGAAGTTGCCATTTTCATGGGTTATATACGACTTCTTGGAAAGCCAGATGTCCAATGCAGCAATATTTTAGATAAACTCATTAAACGTTTTAAAACAGTCGCTGAAAACAGCATGTATGATGACAATAAATCTAAAAATCATAAAAACAAACTTAGAACCTACATTTTGCTGAAAAAGGATCACACCTATGAAAAATATTTAACAATAGTTAAGAATCCAAACCATCGGTCAGCCCTTACGAAATTACGTATAAGTGCCCATACCTTACAGATAGAAATGGGGCGGTACAAAAACATTGACCATAGATAATGCAAAGTCTGTGATTTTGATGAAGTAGAAGACGAGAAACAGTTTCTGCTAAAATGCAAATTGTACCAAAAGGAGAGAATTCAACTGGTGTAGCTGAGGAAGAAATCATGATAAAAATTCTCACCTCTACCGACAACAAAGAAATCATTGTTTAAGCAAAATTCATTTTTAACTTCTCTAACTGCAGAAATATTGCACTGAAAAAAACAACAGCTGCCCCAAAATAATCAATTTCACATTTCTTGTATTGTTTTATCTTTGTTCTGTTTTACTTATTGATTAAATTTTCTGTTTACTTTAATACTTTAAATTAATTGTTTACTTTAGTTTGTTACTTTTTTAGCTAGCTGTTGTTTATTTAAACAACATACTTTATTTTAATATTTTCAGGATTCCAATAACTTAAAGGATACGAAGTCAATAAAGTTATTTACTTACTTTACCTAAAACTTACTTACTTACATCTAAGGTAATAGTTCGGGTACCGACGCTGTTTAAGGTTCGAGTTTGTATTGTATGACGTTACTAACTCAAAGAAGACCAAATAACAAAATTGTTAGATTGATAAACATTATGAAACTTCATTCGGTTTGTATTGTAGTTTGCTAATTATCACATAACTGGGATAAACAATGTGTAATATCCCGCCTTCATGAACATAGATAATTTTGACAACCTTTGTTCATGTAACATTCTGATAAACTCTAGATACAATTCACTCATATGTCACGTGTCCAAAAGGCCAGCGTAATCGTGTTAATTGATGAGATTTTACTCCTGAATTTGTATAAATTAAACGTAGTATAAAGTGCCCAATCCCCATTCTTAAGTTGACTACGCCCGGATAGGGTATATCAAGCAGATTAGGTATGTGCTGCCCAAGTGAATATCCATTTCATACCATTTGGTATACTATACCTGTCGTTTGAGGGCGCATGCAGTTTAACCGCAAAATGCGATCTCATGATGACGTATCATGGTGGCGATGTTCTAAACTTAGATCATGACATCATATGTCATCAGTCAAAAATATCTTGAAAGATGTAACC